GGGCCAGTGACACTGCCCTCCACAGCTAAGATGCTGAACAACAGCTCAACTTGGAGCTGGGCTGCTGTGAGTCACCGGCGACGGCGTAGGCTGCAGCCCCTGTGGCAGTGGGTTGCCATGGGCTACCGTATGTAGCCAGCAGCCAGGGTGAGCGGTCAGCAGCCACAGTGAGTGGCCGTCCAGAAGCCGGCAACTGATCTGCCTCGCCCAAGAAGAGAGCAATGATGGTGCCAACTTGGGCCAATGACGCGACGTCCTCCACAACTAGACTGAAGACCAAAAACGACAGCAACTTGTCTGTTCCCCTTCCCCAATTCCCCAGCATTGTTCCCATCCCCCAATTCCCCAATAAAAATCTTTAAAAAAAAAAAAAAGAAAGAAAATTAAATCTAAGAACTAAGTTTTGCTAATAGTTATGCAAACTTCTGTATTTTAGGACTGCTAGAGTTCATGTGTCCTCCTCGGGGTCAGATATAGGCCAGTGCAAGAATGCTTGGCCTGGTGTTTTCCCTAACTAGCAGGGCATTATAACGGTTCTGGCCCACTGTTACATCCCTGACAAAAAGGCTCAGTTCCTAGAGAAGGCCAGGGAATTTGTTTAAATATCTTTAACAACCAAGACAGGAAAAATGAGGAAAGAAAGGAAAAGTGAGACTGTTTATGAGGCCAGATTTTTGGCTGCAGTTAATAGACAGGCCAAGGCCAGGGCCACCCCAGCAGCACCAGAAGACGAAAAGGAGCCTGCTTTGGATGTGGAAGTATAGGCCACTGAGATAAGGAGTGTCCTAATCCTGCAAAGTGCCCCCTATGCAAACTAAAGGGCCTTGGAGGAGGGATTGTCCCCTGTTCTGAAGGGAGCAGGGACCAAGTCCTTCTCAGCAAATGGCTATAATTGACTGATGGACCTAAAGTACCCAGTGGCTCCTGAAAAGAAAGAGGCCATGCTCATCACAGGGGAGAAACTGTGGGTGACCCTTGACATGGCAGGTAAGCCTGTTAATTTCCTGGTTGAGATGGGAGCCATTTATTCTGTCTTGACTGCTCACTCTGGACCTGTTTCCTCTGAGACCTGCTTGGTTGTGTGGATAAATAAAGCCCCTAAATTTGGGCTCATACTCAAGCCTGTTCCTTACCATTGGCCTATACCTTAGAGGAAATGTAAAACAAGCAAATTAGACTTAAAAAGAGCTTTGGAGAAGTTTTGTCTGGGGGCCTCTAAGTCCTGGCTCTAACTGCTGCCCATTGCTTTGGATTCTGACCTCAATTCTATTATCTACTATGTTGTTAAATTGGGAGAGGCTCAGCAGGCACTTAGGGGGGGACCGGCACCTCCGCCAGGCTGACCCCTCTATACATTGTACCCCCAGAAAGCCAGGGCACCAAGTACTACTAGAAGCCTAGAGGGGGAGGGGTCTCTAACAGACCAGTTAGCTCCTAAATATAAGGGACCCTTTGCAGTTTTTCTGAGCACCCCAACTGCTGTCGGGCTTCAAAGAGTCAGTGGCTGAGTACACTTCGCTCGAATCAAACTTATTTCATTTAAGTCTCCACAGGACTCCCCCAGAAGGAAGACTGTCACTCCTGTTCCTGTGAACCAATTGAAGACATGAAGCGCCTCTTCAGACTGAACTGCTGAAACTGCTCATTATTGCCCCTCTACTTGTGCCCCATCTGGGAAGCCCACTGAATGCATTTTGGCTCTCCTCTTCCCTGGGCTTCTCCAGGGACAATAAGCTAATATAAGAGCTAGGTTCAATAACTCAGACTGCTGGATATGCCCCCTCCCTGCTGTAACCAAATAGCAAAGAACTCTGATGCCCATAGGCAGGGACTACGCCCACTCTCAGCAGGAAGTAGCAAGAGCCAGGGGTCCTAGCCCATATCCCTGAATTTAAAATTTTTTAAATTGTCTCAATTCATTTAGTTATTTTGTTTCCTCTCTAATCTAACCTTACTAATTTAATAGAACTAAAATGAATATAAGACGGGGAAATTGAAACAGGGCCCGGTTGGGACCTCCAGAAAAGAGGCCTTGCAATGTCCCTGGCCTCACCTCTCCCTGCCCTAGAGCTTAAAAATTGATCAAATCCCTCCCTGTGGTTTGAGCTTGGAATGTCCCCAGTCCCAGTCCTGAGTTTAGAATATCCGCTTTCTAGTTTCTTGCTTTAGATAATTACCTTGAAACGTGTGCTTGCTTACTGTGGCCTAGCATTCTTTCCAGGTTACACTCATCATTGCTCCACTCCTGGGTTGATGACCAGGAAGAAGAGCCACATCACCTGAGGGAAGGCTCCATGCAGACCCCCAGAACCATCATGTGACCTCTGGAGGAATGTCCAGGTTTTCCCTGAAACACCCCAGGCTGGTCTGAGAGTGTGTTAAAAGTAAACTATAGTCTTTTCTATCAAAAGCCAACAGGATATGCATCCTCCTGGCAGTGTTAGCCCAACACCCCACTTCCTCCCCATTTTTAGCTTAACTGAAGCCTGTAGCTAGGCAGATTTTGCTTGTTTTATTAGCCAACCGGTTTAGATTGTAAGGTCGCACTCTAGCCAATGGCGTACGACATAGTGACACCCGCGTCAGGGATAAAAGTTGAGTGGACTGCCCGCTCAGTGTGCTTGGATTTACGGTGGCTCCGCACACTTCTGCAGAAGTAAAGTTTTCCTTGCTGAGTGGCTTTCGACCTCACGTGTCTTTATTTGCGACACAGTTAAACTCTGTTCCCAACAAGTGTTAGGGCAGTTTTTGGAGGTGTTAACCCGCTGCCTTCTCAGACCACCGGTGCTCTGATAATAAACGCTTATTCTATGACCCAACTCCTGTGTCGGTCTATCAGCTGAACAGTGCAGGCAGCACGAGCCGGGGACTAGATTGGCCTCCGATTTCAATTTTCGCAGCCGGCAAGCGAGCAGATACAACACCCCATTCCTGGCTCAGTCGCCCCTCCACATCTATACACCACTAGCCCCTCTGCCTACTGTAACCCTTTCCCACACCCTATGTCACACCGGAGTCACCCACAAGGCGCCTCACCGTCCTGGACGCCGGGGCCCGGACTGCAGGACGTTAGCAGGCGCCCCGCAGCCGGGGATTTAGGGTTCGGGTGGGGTGAGGGCGATGATGGCCCAGGGGACACGCACTCACCTGAGCCGGGAGCCTCAGCGCGGCCGCCGCCATCGGACTCTCTGGGGTGGGCGAGGAGGGAGCGGCGGGAGAGGAGGGGGCCCCGGGTGCTGCGGTCTCTGTCCCGGCCCTGGCGCGGGTTGCCGAGCCTCAGGCCCGCATCTGCACGGCGGGTACCACGACTACTACCGGGTCTCCTCGGTCACGGCACCTCGACCCCCTGCCCTACGCTATGGAGCCTCTAACCAGGTGAGCCGATCCTAAAAAATCACAAAACGCCCGCTACGAGGAGGACGCCGGAAGTCCCTTCCCCTCGTGTTGAAATGCTTTCATCCTGATCTGTCATTGGCTCAACACTGCGCAGGAAATTATGGGTAATGTTGTTCTCAGAATTCTAGCGGGGGGGGGGGTTGGGTGATGGGGGGGGTGTTCTGAGGACCAGTGCCGTTGGCTACGTGGCACCCAGCGGGAGCTGGAAATCTGGAAATGCTGCCCCCTAGCAGGGAGAGGGTCCAGTTCCCAAGGATAAAACTATTCTTTGAGAGGCTCCCAAATCCTATTAATAAAGTAATGTAACATCATTCCAGAGAGCAAGTGAGAAATAAAGGAGTCCACAAATAGCTTGAAACATGACGTGATTGCTCTTCAAATGCTTATAGCCTTAATTTTGTGAGTTTCAGGATGATTGGTTTGGAGCAATAGAAAACCCCAAACAGGTTTATGACTGGGGAGGAAGATGAATGTTGGGCCACACTGAATTAGGCGGACAATCACCAAGTTGTCCTCTGCTCCCTCCAAAACCTTTTACCTGTATAGTTAGTGATTGTGTCCCACCCACTGAAGAACACTTTTACCCATATGATATTTCCTACACCTTTTCCTCAGGTATATTCAATTTCTTTAAGGAATCTGACGTCTATCTCAAAGAGCAGTTTAACTGATGCTATTTTTGGTATGGAATACACCCTGCAATACTGAGTCAGAGCATGTGTGCTAAGGGTACATCTGAACCCTGAAATAAAGGAGTATGTGAACCTCGTGGTACCATCTTGCTGGCAAGTGGTAATTTCTGCAGACATTGGTGGTACAGTTTTGCATGTGGAACTGAGATTATCTCAGAAAAACAGTTGTGAAATGTGCATTTCAGAAAGCAGTTAATAATGTTATGTAGTTCTGAAACCGGATGCCAACCAAATCCCGGAATTGTGCTGCCTGCGCTGCTCAGCCAGTAGACCGACACAGAAGTTGGGTCATAGAATAAGCATACATTATCAGAGCACCAGTGGTCTCAGAAGGCAGCAGATTAACACCTCCAAAAACAGCCTCAACATTCTTAGATGGGCTTAGGTTATTTAAGGGAAAATCTAGGCATGGCTCCAGGGGCTATGGGATGGTTCCAGGGGTCTGCATGGAGCCTTCCCTCTGGCAACGTGATTCTCCCATGGCATTGGCAACCCAGGAACAATGATGGCAGTAGCCTGGTAGACAACTGAGATTGTGATCAATAAACCTAAGGGTATTAATCATAAATTTCAGGGTACTTTTCTAAAACAGGAACTGGGTGGGACAGGGGACATTCCAAGCTCAAGCCCCAAGGGGGATGATCTATTATTAAGCTATAGTCAAGGAAAGTGAAGCTGGGATGTTGGGAGGGGTTCCAACCAGGCCCTGCTTCAGTTCCTTAAAGACACTGGCAGAAATGGCTCTGGGAAAACATTGGTAAAGGGTGAAAAAAGTAAGAACTCAGAGAAATTTTAGAAAAGACTCTAAAGTCTGAGAAAAGACAGAATCAAGCTGAGTATGTGACTGTGTTAGAAACTTGGTCATTGTATTTTTGTTACCGACCAGGCGAGTAGCCCCTCTCCCCCACTCCCACCCCACTGAAAATCTTTTAAGTTTTCTTTCCTATAGAGGTGTTAAATCTTCTCCCTAGTTTCTTAGTTCCTTAGCCCCTGGCTTTGATTATTTTTCTAATCAGTTTCTGAATCCTAGGCTAAAGATTGCTCCTAGCCTGAATCACAAGTCTCCTATCCCCCTGCTTCTGGATTGTTTGTAAATCAGTTTCTTAATCATAAACAATAGATTGTTCATAGAAAGCTCCTACTCCTGCTTCAGATAACTACTTAAAAGCCTGTGACTTCCCAATATCCCCCAAGCCACTCCAGACCTAACTCTTGGACAATTCCATCCCAGAGACTAAATAGGTTTTAACATTTCCCCAGGCCAGTAAGCCTAATGATTCTTTCCAAACCCATTCTGGGCCCAGACAATTGAAGCCAACTGAGTAACCCATTGCACCTGAATGGCCACAGGCTCCATGAGAGCTAACAGATTTATCAATTAAAAAATATTTTTCTGGGCCAGCCGAGTGGCGCATTGGTTGAGAGCTGGCTTGGGATGCCAGAGGGCCCCGGTTCGGATCCCACATATGAGGGCCAGTGACACTGCCCTCTACAGCTGAGATGCTGGGCAGCAGCTCGACCTGGAGCTGGGCTGTCGTGAGTCACCACAGCCCCTGCTGCAGTGGGTTGCCATGGGCTACCGTGTGTAGCCGGCAGCCACCGTGAGCGGCCAGCAGCCTCCATGAGCGGCCATCCAGAAGCTGACTGATCTGCCTCGCCCGGGAAGAGCACAGTGATGGTGCCAACTTGGGCCAGTGAAGCAACATCCTCCACAACTGGACTGAAGAACAAAAGGACAGCGGCTTGTCTGTTACCCTTCCCCCAGTTCCCCAGCACTGTTCCCATCCCCCAATTCCCCACTTTAAAAAATATATATATATATTTTTTTTTCCTCATTCAGGGGCTTTGGAGATACATATGACACCCCAGCAACATTGCCAGTCACAACCAAAGAAGCCAACACGGTCTTCCTAGGCAGATCTCAAGACTCCTTCTTCTCATCTGAGATCAGCTACGGTGAGGGTTCCGTGAAACCCCAATAGGCAGAGACACCACTATGCCCCTCCCCAGCAGGAAGAATATACAGAAGAAAAGACCTCCTGTCCCTCAGCTTTCCATAGAGATTTTATGGGGACCAAGTCTCTCAAAGGGAAACAAGGCAGGCAGTTTTAAAGGCAGGCATTGGGTCTCTACATTTCTGCATGTTCCACAGAGTGCACCACCCAAAAGACCTCCCTTCTCTACAATAACCTCTTGTCAATCACAGGTGTAGAGCGACAGCCCATTCTAGAGAAAAAGGGATAAAAACTCCAAGTCCTGGGCAGTCAGCCCCTTTTTTGAGCCCTTTGAGTGTTTTGAGCCTTGCCTTTGCTTGGCCCACTCAACTCTTTGGAGTGTCAATTTTCTCCTAATAATGCCATCTTAAGCCTTGAGCCCCTTGAGCCCTTGGCTGCGTTTTGAGCTTCTTCCTTTGCTCAGCCTGCGCCAAACTCTTTGGAGTGTAATTTCTCTTCTAATAATGGGTCCTTGAGCCATTCTCTACTGCTTGGGCCCACTTCTAATTCTTTGAAATGTACTAGCTCTTCTAATAAATTGCTCTTTTACTACTTTGCCTCGGTATCGCATTCAATTGTTTGCTCAAGACACCAAGAACCTGGACATTGTGCTGAGAAGGACCCACTGTCTGACATTGTGATTTTTTTCATTCCTGAAAACACTGAGCCATACTGAAGCAGGGCCTGGTTGAGACCCTAGTAGTAGAGGCCTAGCAACACAACATCCAGGCCTCATCTTTCCTTGACCTATATAGCCTTCACAGATCACCCATCCCCCTGCAGCTTGAGCTTGGAATATCCCATCACACCCAGTTCCCTGTTTTGGAAAATTACCCTGAAACTTATGATTAACTCTTCTTTGGATGCAACTGATCTCATAGATTCATTGCACACAAATTTTCAAATATGTAACAGTTAAGTATCGTGACTCATCACTTCTGTCTCTTCCTCCTCTACCGTAACCTATCGCCAGTCATGTTTGTGACTTAGTACAGTTAAGACGTATTTCATAGCAGCATCTTTAATCTCACAGATTTGTTGCGCCTATTTGAGATCTTTATATTTTCTTAACAGAATGTTTTGTACAGTACTATCCTTTCAGACATTCCAGAAAGAGATTGTAAGTATAGTTTTATTATTGAAACTTAGTAATTAGGTATTTTATTTTCTAATTAATCTGACAGATTCATTGCACCTGTTTAGGGTAATACTTTTCCTTTGTAGGTTTTACCTTTTAAATGGCTCAACCTCAAAGATTTTATAATCCAAATGACCCAAAAGATGCTGAGATATTGCTACAGATGTTGATGGAGTCTGATACTGCTGAAAATAAACTTGAATTGGAAGACAAAACTGACACAGATGGTGAAAATCAAGCTGAAGAATGAGACCAAAATCCTGACACTGAGCAAGAAAGTTCTCTTTCAGAAAGTGATCAAGAAACTAGTAATGAAGAAATAGATGAATATTTTATTGGCAAAGATAAAATATAACTGTCATTAATGCACAAGTGCTATGTACCTAGAAAATGGAAATGAAGTTTAAAAAAGACGTTTATTTTTTTTTATTTACTTTTAGCTGAGCCATCCTGCCACCTGTTGGCAGCTCAGCGGCTGCTCAGCTTGGGCCGGGGCTCGAACCGCTGTTGCTCAAAGCTCGCACTCCTGAAAAAAATAAACGTCTTGGGGCTGGCCGAGTGGCTCAGTTAGTTAAGAGCTCGCTCAAGAGTGCGAGCTCTGAGCAACAGTGGTTCAAGTCCCGGCCCAAGCTGAGCAGCCGCTGAGCTACCAACAGGTGGCAGGATGGCTCAGCTAAAAAAAAATAAAAATAAAAATAAAAAAATAAAACAGACATTTATTTTTGAAACAGTTGCTAAGGGAATTGGTAGCCAAACATATGAACCAGAGCCACAAAAAATAGGGGAGTTCCTTCACTTCTCCAACAAAAATTGCAGAAGTTTACGACACCTGCTGTCAAAGTTCAAGCACAAGAACCTGAGGCCACCATTCATCAAACAAAAGGAAATGGTGTGCACCTTGAGTAGGAAACAAAAGACAAAGGTATTCCAAATACTTCTGTAAACTTTGCAAACAATTTTTGTGCTTAGAACATGCGACAATGATTTGTGAACATTGTTTCAACTCAAAATTCAATGGCAATGAAGCTGATGAAGAGCAATCAGATTAGTTTTTGTTATTTTATTAAATGACAAATTTTGTCTTAGTTTTACATTTTGAATATGTTGATTTCAATACTGAATTTATGTAATAAACATTGTTTTTACTTTGTGGCAAATTAAAATTTCATTCTGAATAAATAAGCATGCTTACATGTTATTTCTATTCATTTTTAATTTAAATAAATG